GTACGTACGTACGAACGACGACGAACGAACGAACGGACGGTACGGGTACGGGTCGGGTCGGGTCGGGTACGGGACGGGACCGGACCGACCGACGACGACGTACGACGACGACGACGACGACGCGCCGTCTCGTCGTCGTCTCTCTCTCTCTCTCTCTCTCTCTCTCTCTCTCTCTCTCTCTCTCTCTCTCCCAAGCCCTGCAGGCAGGGCCCATGCCCAAAAACAGAACCGCCTGTGCCTGCCTGCCTGTCTTTTTGGCCGGCCGCCGTGCCGCCGGCATCTCGCCTCTCGCCGCTCGCCCTCGCTCGGAATGGCGAGCGAGCGTGCCACGACTTGCCGCCACCAAAGTCGGATCTTCTGCTGTGCTCGGACCAGATTCTCCTACCTCTGCTTCTCCTGCTGCCGCCGCTCACATCTGCTCATTGTCTGCATGCTCGGGCGCCGGTCGGGGCAACGAAGCGGCTGTGGCTGCACTCTTTCACTACTCTGCAAAGCGTCACGCGTCGACGATGTCGCCCACTCCCTTCAAACGAGTAGGTAGAGAAGCTTGCAAGGGGTTTCTTCGTGATTGGTGTACCGTGGCAGAGTCGCAGTGGACTCTCGCTACGGACGGCAAGCTGGTGGTAGTGTGTGTGTGTGCGTGCGTTACATGTGGGACGGCTTGGGGGGGCATGCGGGTTGGAGTGATCCAACAAGGGGAGAGGGGGAAAAAAGAGGGATCGACGCTGCGACAGGATCCCGTAGACCCCGCACCTTTTTTGCTCCTCGACTGTGCCGCGCGGCGCTCACCAATCACGATAAGGAGCCGAACGAGCCGTCGCGGCAGAGTCGAGCAGCGAAGAGGGCGGGGAAAACGAAGGGGGCATCGAGGCAGCGTCGGTGGCGGAAAGGCGAGGGTTGGAAAGCGTCGCTCGAGAGGCGCGGACTAAGGTCCGTTGCGCCGGTCTTGACCTTCTCCTTCCAGTCTCCCCTCGCCGTCGAATTTCGCCGGGGCGTGCGTGGTGTTTTGGTGTGCGAGATCGACCATTTGTGTCATTTTTTGGGTGTGTGTGGCGAGACAGGGTTGCGAGAGAGGCTAGCCGATACAAGAACAAGGTGACAGAACCGGGGTGGGGCCAGTGCAGTCTCGTCGCATCGTGTGAGAGAGGAGGAAAGGGCGAGGCGAGGGCGTGGTCTGCGCACCGCCTTAGGCCTTGGCAGCCTTGGCGGCCTTCTTGGCCTGCTTGGCAGCGGTGCTCTTCTCCCTCTTCTCGGCCACGCGCTTGGCAATGAGGGCGTCGTACTCGGCCTTCTGCTCGGCCTGCTGGGCGTGCTTCCTGCTCTTGAGCGACCTGAGGTGGCGCTTGCGCTGGAGGCGCTGGGCGGTGATCAGGCGCTGGATCGCGGGCGCCTTGGTCTTGGGCGGGGCGCCCTCCTTCTTCGAGGGGACCTCGCGGCGGATGACGTACTTGCGGACGTCGTCCTCCTTGCTGAGGTTGAAGAACTTGCGGATGTGGTTGGCACGCTTGGGGCCGAGGCGCTTGGGGACGGTCGACTCGGCGTCAGTGAGGCCGGGGATCTCCTTCTCGCCCTGCTTGACAACGATCAGGTGGAGAGCCTGGATATCGGGGCCGACGATGCAGCCGCGGACCGACTTGCGGCGGCGCTCACCAGTGCGGCGCTGGCGGTAGCACGAGTCACCCTTGCCGAGGAGCAGGCGGACACGGTTGGGCAGGAGGACACCCTGCTTCATGGGGAAACCCTGCTTGTCGTTACCACCACCGATGCGGAGGACGTAGCCCTTCCACTCCTCGCCGAGCGAGTCGACCTCGACATCCTGCGACATGCGCTTCTCGTAGAAGCAGCGGCTGTGGTCGTGGCAAGAGTTTCGCGTAGTCGACGGCCGAGGTCAGCCATCGAGGCCCCAGTGCGCGGTCGCAATCAGCGAGCATCCGCCCGTCTCGACATCGTCTTCCAGGTCAGATCACTCACACAAGGCGCTCATCCTGGATGTCGAACGACTTCTGGGCACCCGTGGCCGGGTTGGCGACGTTGAGCTTCATCTGTAAGAGGCGCAAGGACAAGAGTGCAAAGGTAAGTCTGTGCATGTCCCGAAGTGCTGCTGCACGACCAGCAAGCTGAGGTCGGCATTCGGCCGACCGCTCGCCCCTCGCAGATGTCGTATGCCAGCCGGTGTCGGTCGTAGGTTGGTCGGAGTGGATGGTGCTGGTTTGTCGTCCCGATCTTGGAGAAGTCGGAGGCAGCTCGCAGCTCGATGGTACGACCTCTCCTTCCTCTCAAGTATGCCAACAGCCGTCCGTCTTCCACCAGTCTCCCACCGTTTCCGATTCCTTGCCTGTGGGAGATTGCCATCAGGCCAAGTTCGAAGGTGCCTTGTGCGGTATCCTAGCATAGTCCGGAGTCCAGGCTGCCGCTGTGCAGGGCGCTGCCACGGAAACCGACAGCATTCCTACGACATCCCTCGTGCTTCCATCGCTTCCTCCGTGTCCTTCGGAATCAGGGGCCGTAGAACCATAGGTCTTCGGGGACCCATGCGAGCTGAACGGATGTTCCAAGGAAGCCGGACTTCGGGCGGACGTGGCGGCGGCCACTTAGGATCTCTTTGAATCGACAGAAGGAAAGCGGGTCGAAGGGCGCCGCATAAAGCGGGCGGATCGATGTAGAGTGGCGGGTCGAGAGGTCTCCCAACGGATGTCGGCAGTAGTCGATGTATGCAGGTCCTTTCGACACCGATGTCCGTAGGGCGAGGCGGACGATGGCGGCGGCGACGGCGAGAGGCGACGGCGGAGGCGGTGGCGAATGCGGCGGCAGCACGACACCTACCTTGATGGATACTTGATGGTGAGGGGGAGGAGGACGGGCAGGGGATGTGAGGTGTGACGATCGTGAAGGGGACTGAGACGCAAACGACGACGACGGCGACGACCGCAACTCACGCCAAGGCACGAGCCGCCCTGCGCTGTGCTGGGCCCGGCGTGCGCCCAGCCCAACTTGGCCTGGCTGGCCCCGCCTCGAGCTGCCCGCCAGAAGACTCTCGCTCCCGCCTGAGGCCCCCACCCTGCGCTGGCCACCGCCCGTCCAGCCAGCCCTGCCTGGGCCAGCGGACCCGCCGACCCGCTGGCCCCTCTCTCGCGTGCCCGCCTCTGCAAATTCAGCCAGCCTCGAGGAAATTCCCACGCTCTGAGGCTGGCGTGAAGAAATTCAAAAATCGAGGAGCAGTCGATTTTCGCTCGGTGCCGAGAGACGGACCGCGAGACGGAACAGCAGGCCCACCCAAACTTTTGGCTGGCGACGGTTGGGCGAGGCAAGCGTCGGCTGCGAGCAAGGGCCGGGCCAGGTCGGTGGGTGGGACCGACGAGGGGCCCAGGGCGGCTGGCAAGCTCATGTCTCCGCTCGCTCTTGCTCCTCCCCTCAAGCATCTGCTCATCACCGACATCTCCCTCGCCCTCAAGATCAACATCTACTAGGTGCGCATCTCGCCGAGAACCATCAGTCGCATAGTCGCTAGGGGACACTCTGTCGAACGCCTTCGCTGACCTTGGAACGCTCTCCTCTTGTTGTACATCTCCATTGCAGGTGCGTTTCTGCAAAAGATGGCGGCTGCGGAAGCTCGGAATGGGATCGGATAGGGATGGTCATGGAGGAATCACTACCATCAAATCATCTTCAAGCTCGTCGGAGGATCCCGCCAGCGCGACGGCACCCTGGTCCAGACCGAATCGGCTTCGGAGCAGGCTGCTGCTGGAGCGTTGGCACAGGCGGACGAGGTGGACGCGGTGGCACGGGTCGGAGGATATCCCATGAGCTTCAGATCGGTCTCGTGCTGACTGAATTGCTGTCTTTTGCCGTGTCTCTGGTTCTGGTTACGGTCGTCGTTGGGGCTGGTAGCCAAAATGGGTCGCATGCACTGTGAGTACGGCTGGCAGTTGGTGGTGCATTCAGGCCCGAGTAGCTCGGCCTGGCTATGGCGATGGCGACGGGCCAGCGTTGTGCTGACATGGAGTCCTCTCACCCCTTCCATCCTACGAACACAGCCAAGGGAAAGGGTATCTCGAGCTCTGCTCTGCCCTACCGCCGCACCCCCCCGTCGTGGCTCAAGGCCACCCCCGAGGAGGTTGTCGAGCAGATCACCAAGCTCGCCCGTAAGGGTATGACCCCCTCGCAGATCGGTGTCCAGCTCCGTGACAGCCAGGGTGTTGCCCAGGTCCGCTTCGTCACCGGAAACAAGATCCTCCGTATCCTCAAGAGCCAGGGCCTCGCCCCCGAGATCCCCGAGGACCTCTACCACCTTATCGTGAGTGGTCCAGCTGCCGCCGCGCGAGATCGAGCTGGTTCTCTCCCTTCGATGCGCATCTTGCTGACTGTGCCTTCCGCTCCACCGCTGCCGCCCTCGCTTCCGCGACCCGAGCAGAAGAAGGCCGTCTCGGTTCGCAAGCACCTCGAGCGCAACCGCAAGGACATGGACTCCAAGTTCCGCCTCATTCTCATCGAGTCGCGTATCCACCGCCTGACCCGCTACTACAAGGCCAAGGGTGCCGTCTCGCCCACCTTCAAGTACGAGTCGGCCACCGCCTCGACCCTCGTCGCCTAAGCGCGGTCGTAGCCCCCTCGTCACCGTCTTGGCCCCCTCGCTTCTCTTTGTACCATCCTCCCACCACCCACACATTCCACGCGCACCAGCGTTCAAAAGGGAACGATGCTGTCTCATTCTCGCCGCCGCCTGTGGAAGGAGCGACGTCGCACCCCCTCTACCGCTACGTCATGGCCGCCCTTGTATGCTCGCTCTCGACTCGCGCTCTGCGAACACATCATGCACCCCATGCGTCCACCTCGGTCCCCACTGGAGTTTTTTTTCCGTCGCCGCCGCCATCGACCCGTCTTCGTCGTCTGTTCGCGCTGTCTCCGTTGCTGCTGCTTGTTGGCCGCATGCTTCTTGGCCGTCTCGCTGCGTCGCTTGCGTCGTTCTTGTCGCTTTGTCGGAGGGCTGGATGGGATGGCGAGGATCGCCTTCTCGCGACGCCCAACGCGAGATGCGATGACTTCCAGCAACTGCACCAGTCGGCTGCCCGACGTCTGGTCACGCCCCCTTTCGCTCGCCATCTTGGGGGCCGCTCTCGAGCCTCCCCTAGTGCTCGTCGAGCTGCCCTTGGCGCTTGGCGAGCTCCTCCTGACGCTTGTCGAGCTCCTCCAGACGCGTGGCGAGCTCCTCCTGGCGCTTGGCAAGTTCCTCGTGACGCTTGTCGAGCTCTTCCTGGCGCTTGTCCAGCTCCTCCTGGCGCCTCTTGAGCGGCTGGTCCTGCTCGCTCATAGCGACAACCTTCACTAACGTCTCTGCGAACATTTCGCCGAGCTGTTCGAGGCTGTCTTGTTGCCGTCCGCGGATCTCCTCTTGAAACTGCTTTAGTTGCTGCAGGAAGGAGATGCGCATCTCCTCAAAGATGTCGGCATACTTCTCGATGACGCGGCAAACCCGCAGGATCTTCTTGTCCGTCTCTGACAAGGAGGGATCCTCCGTGCACTCGGCAAGATACTGCTCGTGAATATCAAGCCGAAGCGCCTCCCTGATGACGGTGCCAGCGTCGGCTGCAACGGGTGGGACCTGTCGGCTGTCCTGCACGGTACCGTCCTCGGGAGCGGCGCCGCTCTCGGGCTCGTTGGAGGGAGCGGGAGAGGTCGTGCGGGTACGCTTGTGGTTGCCGGTGCCGGCCTGGTCAGCAGGATCGGGCTGAGCAGCGGGGCCGGCCTCATCATGGTGCGCCGCATCCTTCTTCGCAGCGGGCTCGGGTGAACATGACCTCTTGGGACGCGCCGAAGGATCGACAGGCATCGTCGGGCTGGTCATGAGGAAAGAAGTGTTGCGATGAAGAAGAGGGGAGGATGTGAGAGACGGACCCGTGATGGGCGGAGGGCAGAGACGAGAGGACGAAATTGGGAGGAGATGGTGGATGAGTTAGGAAGAGGGGCAAGCCTGATCGCAGAGGGAGGAGTCGTATTTATACGATGTTGGACAGAGGGGAAGAGCGGGCAGGCAAAAGAAGGAAGGGAAGACTCCGTCTCCCCTCCTGCGCAGGGACAGGCTTGGCTTCCTTTCGCTGGGCAGGAGACGTGCGTGCGACCGTCTGAAGCTGGTTCGTGTCGTGTGCAACACGGCAACCGCGCCGCCGTTCGACGGAGGCGCAGCACAAGCTAAGGTGCGAGACCTGCGGACGCAGCAGACCGAGCAAGGGACAGAATGAGCTCATTTGATCAAGTCGCACAGGCGCAGGCAAGACAAGGTTCGAGCTCAGGGCTGTGTATGTGCTGCTCTTGTTTCATACCGGGCATGGACGCGTCGCGATGCGGCGTCGGGGCGCCGTCTTAGCCTGCAACTGCGCAAGGGCCGGCCGTCATAAGGCGCAAGCCCTGGCCGTGCCTCTCCGTGCCAGTGTCCATCGTGCGGCCGAACGGGGTCTTGGCTTGCCTGGTTGCAGCGTACCTCGAGCTGCGCGAATGCGATCGCAGGGATCGCGACGTTCTGGCCACAGCCGCGCCGAGTAGCGACGAGTCACGATTCAAGTGTACTGAATTCCGAACCAAGTGCGGAAGACGAGAGTGGAAAGGTCCGAGGGAGGGAACGCGGCCAAGATGACGGCGGGGCAGGCTGGGAAAGCATGCATGCTATGGGACATCGAGCGCCATGCCGGGTGAGGGGGGCTATTCTATGAAACAGGAATTGGGTGGGACCATAAAGACAGTGTGAGGTGCTTGATGCTGAGACGGGGACGGGGAGCAGGAAGAGATCGAGGACTGCTCGTGGAAAGGGAAATCTACAGGTGACATGGGATGCGAGAGGATGCCTTTTCGACGACGCAAGGATGAACGAGGACCAGCCGTGAGGAACCATTGCGCGGGATCTACAGATACTGAAGAGGCGGGGAAGACTGGACTGCGGAGAGGGAGAGGGGCGGATGGCCGGATCGGGATCGGGATGGAGAACGGTGTTGGGAAGGTTGGCAGCGACGATGGAGCATGAGGCTGAGCAAGGAGGTAGCGGGACGGTCGGGATGCCGGCGGGAGATCCGAGACGTTGGCGATGCTGCCACCGCCGCTCAGACGTCAAAGATGCCAGAGCTCTCGCCGTAGCTGGGCAGCAGCGTCTCGGACCTGGGCTCAGCCGAACGGTCGAGGGCGGCCTGCCTCTCCTGGACCACGGCGAGCCTCTCTGGCGTGATGAGGCCGAGGGCAATCTGCTCGCCCAGCTCCTCGTCCAGGTCGACCTCTGGCTCGTCCGGGATCGCGTCCAGAGAGGGAAAGTCGAATCGAGGCCATGCCGAGGGCGCTGCCGGCTCGGGAGGTGTCATGGGCGAGTACTCGGGCGCTTCGTCGCCGCCGAGCTGCACAGATAGTCGCGCGGGGGTGTGAGCAAGAGGCGTGGCGTCGTGATCGTCGTCGTCGTCGTTGCGCTCGTGATCGTGGATGTGGTCGTTGTTGCGGACGTGGCGATGATCGCGGTTGTGGGCGGTTGCGGCCGGAGCCAAGCCTGGCGTTGATGCGTCGAGGCTGGGTCGCTCCTCGCCCTGCAGCTCATTGCGGATGCTGCCGGCCACCAGGACGGGCGGCGTGACGAGTTGCAGGTGCGCGGGCGCATCCGATCGCGCATCCGTCAGCCCGATCTTGACGTGGATGCGGTACTCGAGTCGCAGCGCCTTGAAAGAGAAGCTGGGCGTGACGAGGCAGAATTCAGGCACCATCACGGGCTTTCCCTTCCTGCCGTGGGTGCCGCCGCCGCTTCCGGCAGCCAAGCCACCGTGGCTATGCGCGACCGGAGACAGTGGCTTCAGCACACGTTCGTAGCGACTGATGACGAAGTCGCCGCCAAACATCTGCCGCGTTCGGCCGGGTTCGTAGAATGGCGGCAGCTGATCCTCGGACGTCCGCTTGAGGTTGAGGATGCGGATCCTCTCGGACCATGATTCGGGCCCGCTGAAGCCATCCAAGCAGTCGGGCGACTCGGACTCGACCGTTAAGGTGCCCAGACGCGAAAACGTCAACACCGAACGCAGCAAGTTGAGCTCGAGGGTGGGTTCGACACCGGCGGCCGTCTTGGCGGGCATGCGCAGCTCAACGCTGAAGGGGACCTTGGTCTCCATATAGAACGCTGCTGTCGCCGGCACCGAGAGGATGGCCTCGACGCCGCCGATGCCAGCAACCTCGGTCTCGACGGTGTGGGTGAGCCAGCCCGTGAGGCGGCCGTCCATTCCCTCGGACACCTTGACGGTGCTGACCTTCTTGACCTTGGGCTGTTGCGCCAGGGTCGACAGCCGCGGCACCGAGACCTGCGAGGCGGTCCGGGTCGGCATCCGTGCTGGGCTGGTCTCGCGGGGGAGCGCGCCGAAGACCTCGGTAGGCTCTCGGTAGCCTCCGAGATCCCGAGTCCACGAGTCCTCCTCTTCCTCGTCGCCCTGCGCTCCACTGTCGTCGGCGCCTGGCGTTCCCGGCTCTTCGTCGGAGCGCTGCGTCGTGGCGGTGGCGTTGCTCCGCATGCGACGGAGGCGCGGCAGGTCCATGTTGGGCACCGGCAGCGCGGCCGTCATGGGCGGGTAGGGCTCCACTTGGAAGCTGAGGATCAGGCGCTCGCCTCGCTTGGATGGCAGCAGCTGCGAGCCGAGCCTCTGGCGGGTGACGATGATGTCGATCTCGTACTTGATGTGGGCCATGGGACGGATGGCGCGGTGGCGGCCGTACCTCTCCCTCGCCTTGTCAAAGATCTGGGTCGCCCTGGGCGGCTCGTAGCGGGTCTCCATGCAGATGCTGGGCGGCAGGTCGACAAACTTTTTGCCGCGCTTGTAGGACGCCTTGAGCTTGTTGTCGAGCAGGTCGAGGGCGGTGGCGGGGATCTTGATCGGCAGCGCGAACTTGAAGGGCACAGCGAGGTTGTTCTTGCGACGGTGGTCGACCAGGCCCGAGGCTTGGAGGTCGAAGCGGCCGCTCTCGATGTCGGCCTTGGTGACAAGGGTCTGCTGTTCGCTGTAGAACAGAATCTGGCGCTTGGCGATGCCGTGCTCGTTGTCACCCGAGTAGAAGCTGGCGTCGCCGACGCCAAAGACGCTGGTCTCGAGGTCACCGCGGACGCGCGCCTTGATGCCCGTGATGATGCCCCGCTCGGGATCGCAGCGAGCAAGGTGGACCTGACCACAGACGTCCTGGCCTGGCCGGTAGATCTTGTCGAGCGATCCCGGCCCATCGAGAAATGCCGTCGTCTGGCAGGCATTGCGCTTGGGCGCCGATGCCAGCGGCTTGACCTTGCCGTCGATCTCGATGCGGGCCGAGTAGCCCTTGTTGATGGCGCTCGAGACGCTGAATTCGGTTCGGGCCGTCGCCGTCGAGGCACGTCGGCTGCGGAAGGTCGGGGCGCGCGCCAGTGCGGCGCCGGGCCGCTGGAGCGGGAAGGGATAGCCGTCGGCCACGGCCGATGTCGAGCGGCCTGCGTCGACCTCGTCGGTCGGGGAGAGATCCGAGTCGTCGGTGGTCTCAGGCGAGCTCGTCAGGGGCTCCTGCTGCGACGCCTGGAAGACGGCGTCGAGCTGCGCACGACCTGCCTGGACGAAAGAATGGACGCGTTGACGTCGAAAGGCGGCGCCCTCGGCATCCTCGTGGGTGGACCGCAATGGAGGGCGAGGCGGTGGATAGTTGTTCCTCGCGCGGCCTTGTGAAGAGCCCCTGCCAAAGGTGCCGGAGCCGCTGAAGAAGCCTCTCACCGACGACGTCGACGAGGGAGCCATGCTGAGGATGATAGAGCTGCTGCTGCTGAGGAGCCACTGTGCGGCCGCTGGTCACGGTGCAGAGCTGGGTGTCGGATACCGGGGGCGGAGCAGGCACTTTTGGACACGGCGAGGACGGAAGAGACCGATGTTGAGTGCTGATGCGCGGGGTCGATGGAAAGGCGGGGTCGACGGTGCGAAACCGACTCGACGAGGGACGGAACGGGGCCTTATGTCGAGATGCTAGGGAGGGGGACGCAGGAGGGCCAAGGTGGGTACACCGGCCACCGTACTGCTGTGTGCCATGGAAGAAAGGGGCTGGGGCGGGAGAGCTGGGGCTGGCCTGGCTCTAGAGCTTGAGCTCGAGCTCGAGGCCGGGGCCAGGCGATGGGTCCGGGCGGCACGGGCACGGAACGCTGCCGGCCGCGGAAGACTCCATGGCCTGGCCTGGCCTGGCCTTATCGCGGATCAGATCGCCGGTCATGCCCGCCCATCATCCCCCACCTCTGCCTGCCCCCCGCCTTTGCGGGGTCAGCACTCGACCGTACATGCTGTTTTGTCTTGCGGAAACGAAAGCCGGCCAGAGGTCAGCGTGCCAAGGTGCCGTATCACCATCATGGCGGCGGCGGAAGGCACACCCGACACGACCCGAAGGGGGATCCGTCGCCCAAAGAGGAGAGGGAGGCGGCCCTGATGTTGGCAACGGAAAAGGACGGCCCTCTTTGGCAGGGCCGGCAAGAAAGGGAGCAAGCAGGAGGCTAGGATCGGAAACGCCTCCGATGGCCGCGGTTTCGCCGAAACCAGGCCAGGCGGCCAGGCCTCGCGAGATTCCCCGTGGGGTGAGCCAAGCAGCCAAGCAAAGGCCAAGCAACAGAGAGAGAGCCAAGCAACCAAGGCCAGGCAGCCAACTCCTCTGCTGGCAGCCAGCGAGGTGCATCCGATGGAGGCGCCCACGTCCCTGCCTCACCTCGCTCGTTTGGGCGCTGTCTGACCGGTGGCTTTCCCTTGCCGGCGTAAAGCCTGTGGCCGGCTGAACAGTCCAGGCCCGCCCCCTGTGCGGAAGGTGACGTGACAGGACCCTCGCAAGAAAGAGAGCGCGCGAGTGGCCAGCTCGCTAGCAGGCTCGACGACGTAATCCTTCGCGAAGCCGACAGATGCTGGCAGGTCACGACCCAACCGTCTGCTCTGGCGGATAAGGGCGCCGAGGAGAGAGGAGGAGTCGGGCCGAGCATCCTGGTCGGCAGCTGGGCACCACCGCTCAACGAGCAGCCGGCGGCATCTGGCAACCGAGGCGACCAGATCATCTGGAAGGCTCTCGCCTTGGCTGGGGTTCCCTAGCCTCTTTGTCTCCTGCTTGCCATCGACGATCTAAGCTCGCTCGGGTCTCCGGCTCAGAGGTCTGCCTGGAGGCTTCGAGGGTCAGCGGCGAGGCTTGACGGACGGGCTTCTGTGCCATGGTCGGCAGACTGGGCCGACGGCGAGCACACTGGGCCGTCGAGGGACGGATCGACGACTTTGGCTGTGCGCCATGACGACGGGCTAACTGGGGTGTGCCCTCGCCTTCTCACCTGCGACGGTGTGGCTTGCGACCCGATGGACAGCCTGAGAAGGTCCACGCTGCACAGCGAGCGAGCAGGAGTGTCCGGTCGGGCCGACGTGACCAGGGCCAACGCCTGGCCATCACGCTGAGGGCTCTCGACGGCCTTCTCGTCGCTGCTGCTCGGCCGATCCGGGGCTGGGGATCAGAGCTCGACCTGGGCAAGTGTGCACGCGGCCAGCCTAACCAAAGCTTTGACTGCTCGACTCGCTGCTCGCCGCGCCAGGTGGAGGACGGCCGGCTCGCTGGCAACGTCGACGAAGCCCCCGGAAAAAATCCGACGAAAAGGCGAGGCACGCAGGCAGCCGCTCTTCGATTCCAGCTCAACAGGTGGCTCAGACGACGACCACGGCGACCACCAACACCACCACCATCACCGCAGCGGCCTTGCCGGCAGCAACGCCTCGCCTTCATCCAGTCACTCGTCAACGAGAGACCATACGTCGTTACCGCAATCTCGAAATCCCTTCATTCGGCGACCGCCTCGCCCGCGAACGAGCCGCCGCGCACGTCTCCCTCACCTTCTGCTGGCCCAGCGGACGAGGAGCCCCTATCAAAGCTCGTATCGTCGCCCCGCGGATTGTTCAAGATGCAGACTCCGACCTTATGACCTTGTCCACCTCGTCCGTCTCGTCTTCAGCCGGCACTTTTCAACTTTTGACCAGCACACACGTAATCGCCAAGCTTCTATTCACAGCCGCCCGCTGATCCACCATGGTGGTAGAAGAAGCAACAGATCGGTCGCCGGGCCATCACGTCGGCAGCATCAGCGCCGCTTCGTCGCCGGATGCCACCTTCCGGCTCGACGACTTGAGCAGCCCGTCGAGCCCACTCGACGATCCGCACCAGATTGATCCGGAATCTGACCGCCATCTGTCGTCACGCGGAAACCATGCACCGCTGCCCAGTCCATCCCACTTACCGCCTCTCGATTTCGATGAGCTTTCGCCGCTTCCTCCGGCTCGGCGCTCAGTGCTGTCGCCTGAAAGCCTGCCCGCTGGCCGTTCACCAGCGATCGCCAAAGGCCCAAGCTCGCCGTTCAGCTCCTTGAGATCGTCTCCAATGCTCGAATCCTTCCGCCTCGATGCGTCGCCCCAGAAAAGACCGTCAGTACAAACCGAGAGCCCACAAGCACTCAAGGCTCATCTGGGCGTAAGTGCGAAGGGCAGTTTCGACGATGCACGGTCTCGGCCGAATCCTGCCGACGGCGAGGTACCCGCGGCGAGGTACGTGACGGTGTCTGCAATCCTGTCCCGCTCCGAAGTCTACTTTCCTGCGGGCTCTCGGCACGCCGACATCCTCAGAGACACGCTGGGCGAGGGCCAACGAGCGATCCCTCCGACATCTCGCGGGCCTAGCGACGGGCTCGTTCAGCCCGACGCTGCCAGCTTCGGGGTTCGCCGGCGCGGATCACGAAAGGCGCCCAGCAACGGAAGCGCACTCGAGGCCCTGGGGGCGCTGCTGCTCCACAGAGACAGTTCTGGCAGGGTCTCGGGCCTCAGCCTCACCAAGGAGGGCGAGACGCAGGCTGGATCAGGGTTGCCCGCGCCCCAAAGGAGCGTCGTCCAAAGCTGGACGCAAGCCCTCAACGAGATCAGCAAGCTGCGCCCCGCCTTTGCCTTGTCTGCGGCCAACCGCGACGGACCTGACCAGATCGCTGGACGGGGTACTATCGCAGAACGGCGGGCGAGGAAATGGGGAAGCATGCTGCTGCGTCAGGGCGGCGCAGCGGTGTCGGAGAGTGACAGCCCTCAGGCCGGGTACAGGACGGTGCGAAGCGGTCGCAGTGGTCTCAGCTTCGAGGTCGGGATGCCCGCCGGCTCGTCACCGGAGCAGGCCGCCTCGGACGATGGCTATCGCGATCGTTCTGGGCCGCGAGGTCCGGCACAGCGCATGAGCGGGTCCCTTCCCGGCACGATTCTGCTCAAAGCGGGCAAGAGACCCGATTTCGGGAGGAGAAACTTTTCCGAGTACGGCCCAGGATCGTCCTTCAACGCCGAAAGCCTGCCCGAGGCACCGCCAAGTCCCGTGGACATGCCTGGCGCCTGGCATGGTGGCTCTTCTTGGAGGGCCAAGCCGGGAGAGGGCTTTGAAGAAGGCGCGCTGCTCCTCCCGCCGCCACTGCTCGATGATCAAGGAAGCGATCCGCACACCTTCGAAGGTCTCCTCGGCGTCCGACGTATGCGCGAGCAGGCCAAAGCACGGAAGCAGATGGAACGCCTCAAGGCTCGCAACCGGCCCACTCACAAAGTGGGACCCTTGGTGGCTCTGCTCAACTTTGTCAGAGCCGCACATGCCGCCGAGAAGCAGTCGCAGGCTGGCAAGACGAGGCCCGAACGCCTTACGCGGAGCATGTCGGAGCCAGACACGATACGCCAAGTCGGAGGATTGAACGCCATCAACGGGGAAATCGAGCCAGTCGCGGGGCTGCCGTCCGAAGTCGCTCACGCAGCTGAACAAGGGCCCCGCGAGTCAGTGAAATCCGTGCCGACTGCCCTTGGTGTCGGTCCTGAGGCAAACGCCGGCAGCGATCGACTTGCTATGGGAGCGATGTCGATGTCCGACATCGGCGACGGCCACCTTGCCGAGCCCAATGCATCGAGGCCGCAGGCAGCGCTCACGGCGTCCCCCGGTCTGCAAGCGGCCCGTCGACGGCAAGCGAGCCTGTCGAGGAGAGGATCCCTTACCAATCCAGTCGACACCACCGGCAGGCAGCTCAACACCGTCTTTGAGTCCGGAGTTTTCGACCCGGTCATTGCGCATGAATCGCGCAGCATGTCGCCCCGACTGGCGTACGCGGCATCGCCTTCCATGGGACCCTCGTCTCAGGCCTCATCGGTCTCGGGCCACGATCTGCCGTCGGCGCCGAGGCTGCTGCCCATCCAGCTGTCGCTTCCGCCTTCGCCCTTCACGCCCCTCGGCGTCGATCATCGCTCGCAGAGTCGAGACTGGCGCTCCAGCAGCAGCAGCAGTCTTGCGTCCGACTACTGGTCAGCGAGGCCCATCCCGCACGCGCATGCACCGCAGACCCCACGGCTCGGCCCCACGATACTGAGCGTGCCGCCGTCGCCCTGGACTCCACACCAAGGAAGCTGCGCCGAGGTCATGTATCAGCTGCACTTCAACACGAGCAGCTCCTCGCTCAGGGCGCCCGGCACGCCCCGCCTGATACCCACGCATCTCGAGGTGCTGCCCTCGCCCTTCCCGACTCCAGCAGCCTCCCGGCGGGGCTCAGTCGGCGGCGAGAGGCGCACCTCGACGTGGGTCTCCGCTCCTGACGTCACCCCCGATGCGGCCCTTGTCATGCCGGCGATGAGTCCGAGCAAGGCTTCGGCCGATGCCACCAAGGAGACGGCCCCGAGGTCCATGGATGCATCGGAGCAGGGCCCGCCCGAAGTTGCAGGTCTCAAAACGGCCAATGGACAGGCGCTCCGGCTTCGCCGGGCGAAGGGCGTTCGCGAGGCCCTCGAGACCGATACTTCGCGCCTGACGCCTTCGGCCCTACTGCGAGACTACCCGGAGTCGGGCTCGTCGACGCCGACCGTCGCTGACCGGGCGGATGCCTCGCAAGCCGCAGGATTCCCCCCGCCAGCTCTCGAACCGCTGTCAGCATCACCACCAGCGCCAAGCGGAGATCAAGAGGCGTCTGTCCCGCGGCAGCGGTCCTTCTTGCTATGGTTCTTGGTCGGCGACCTAGGGCTGAAGGACACCAGGTCAGCTGGATCTCGCCAGCAAGAGGAAGTCGGCGGAGTCGCCGGACTCCTCGTCCACATCTTTGGCTTTACGGTGTTTTGCCTGGCCCACCTCGTCGACCTCATCTGGCAGATGGCCGAACATGTGGCGCTTGCCTTTTGGTTCGCGCGATGGCTCCTCATGAACTTGACGGGGCAGACGGTGCTGTCGCGCTGCGTGCTCGAAGCCTACCGCCTGATCCAGGCCGAGTGGGCGACGGTGGCCGAGGAGGACCACGAGGCGCGCGGGTCCAAGAAGCGACACCGGGTCGACGCCGAGGCAAAGGCCCGCGGTCTCAGCCGATGGCAGGTGGCCAGGGGCCTCTTTGAGCTTTTCTGCCTCCAGAGCGTCACCAGAGAGCGTTACCTCCAAGAGGGAGCGGGACTCGTCAAGCTCGAAGCGTGGTCGAAGCACTCGCGCCTCGGCACGCCGGCTGCCGATGGCTCTCTAGGATCCGGCCGCCTAGACATCGGTGCTCAGAAGGCTGCAGCGCGTGCTGCCATTGAGCAGGCGACGTGGGCGGCATCGCAAGTCGAGAGCGGAGACGACGATGACGACGACCGCGATGGCGACGACGACGACGACGACGACGACAGCAGCGACGAGGAAATGATTGTCACGAACCGAGGCCACGACATTCTCGAGTTCTCCAAGACGCCACGGCTCGATCCCGTCAGGCCATCGCAGCCGCGCAAGCACAGCGGCTACTTTGGCACTTCGTATCCCGCCACGGCTTCACCCGCCCTGCGGTCGTCAGCGAGCGATGTCGCGAGCGAGCTCAAAGCGCTCCGCGAGAGCCCTCGCGAGCTGGTCAAGACGATCAAGTGGGCCAGCCGGCTGGCCATCTCGGCGTACGGCCTGCACGTTCACATCGTGGACCTGCCTCCGACCTTCACGCCCTCGGGAAACCGCTTCTCGAGGCAGACTTTCGCCTATCTGTCGCGCCTCGACGCGGAAGACGTGCTGCACGCCGACATCCAGACGCTCGATGTCGAGGCCAACTACAGCCCGACATTCTACATCGTCCGCGACTACGTCCGCAGAGTGGTCTGCGTCGCGGTGCGCGGAACGCAGAGCTTCTCCGACATCATCGTCGACCTCGAGATGCGGACCGAGGAGGTCGAGCTTCCTCAGGTGCAGCCGGCGCCGGGCGAGGAGTTCCGGTGCCATGCCGGAATCTGGCGGGCGGCGCGAGCGCTCGTCTCGCCCGACTCGAAGCTGTTCGAGAAGCTCCGCCTGGCGCTCGAGGAAAACGAGGATTTCGGCGTCATCTTCTGCGGCCACAGCCTGGGCGGGGCCATTGCCAGCGCGGCGGCGCTGCTGCTGGGCGAGTACCGCGTTCCCGATGGCGCCGACCGCGACCAGGGCAGCTGGTTCACCAACATGTCGAGCGGACTACCGGCGCACCGGCCGATCCGGGCCATCAGCTTCGCCAACCCGGTCACCATGACGGCGGACCTGGCCAGCCGCGCGGCGATGGGCTCGATCCCGCTGGTGACGAGCGTGGTGTTGGGCAGCGACGTCATCCCACGAGCGGGCCACGGCCAGGTGCGCGAGATCCGCCGAGTGCTGGGAGCGCTGTCGCGGGTGCGGCGGAGGCTCGCCATCTCGTCTTCGCCCGACGACGGCGATGCCCGGGTGCACATCGTGCGCAGCTTCTGGGACTGGCGGTCCATCTGCCAGTCGACGAACCCGGACGACGTGATGCTGCACCGCAAGGAGCGCATCGAGGAGCAGCTGTGGTCGCTGCGGCGCGAGGTCGAGTCGGAGCTGTACGCGGCGGTCAAGTCGCGACTCGACGAAGCCGGCGAATCCGCCAGCGTGGGGGCGACGGGCTCAGATGGCGGCGGTGGCGGTGGCGGTGGCGGGGGCGGGGCGGTCCTCGGTCGGTCCTCGGTATCCGCCCTCGCCGTGGGTGGGGCCGGCAGCAGTGCGAGGCGGCACCGCTGCACCAGCTGGCGGCCAG